TGCCAGGGGGCCCCTTAAGCAGGTCAAGCTACACAAACTGTCTCACCTATGCGGAGGGCCTAGTTCAGTCCCGTGGAGGCTCCACAGCTCTTGGTCCACAGTTCATGAGTTCCCGCTAGTTTGGTTTGGTTGTCTCTGTAGGTTTTCCCATCATGATCTTGATGCCTCTTGCTTATGGAATTCTTCTTCTCTGTCTTCTGGAGCTCAGCCTGGTGCTTGCAGACAGCCCCTTATTAGCCTTTTCTGTCTATTCATGGTCTGCTATTTGCTCAGTTGAGAAACAGGGGAGTTGTTATCAATGCGCCCTTTTTACTCTGGCATCCAGTCCATGACACTGTCCTTCTAATTCAACCTCACACACATTCGCATCAGTCAACCTTCCTGCCTCTAACCTCTGTAACACCGTGTTACCTGAAGAACTGGGGTAGCGGGGTTGGGGATTTAGCTCAGTGGTAGAGCACTTGCCTAGCAAGCACAAGGCCCTGGCTTTGGTCCTCAGCTCTGGAAAAACAAAAACAAACAAAAACTGGGGTAGCTTCCTGACAAGTCCTCCTCACTCCACTTCTGCTTCTGTTTCTCTGCGATTTCTCTTCATACCAGACGAATATTCCGGTTTGTTTCCTTTTATTTGTAAATTGCCTCATCCCTCTGTCTACCTTAGGATAAAGTAATATTCTTAATGCTCTTGCTGTTATTCACTTTGCTTTAAGCACATAGTCCATTTACGTATGAGCCTTCTCCTGAGAATGCATTTACTTTTTTTTACATTTTTGCTTCAGGCCCCTCCCTGGGCTCTTCGTCATTCCTGCCACTGCCCCTACTCTCTGCTTGCAGAGCCCTTTGGCATCATTCAGTTAAGAGTTTAATTTCTCTTCACATCATTTTTCTTCATGTTAGTCCTTGCCACCTCTGGGCAATTATGTATTTACTTATCACTTACAATCCTTTCCTCTTGTTGTTATGTGTTTTTGAGACATGGTCTCTCTACATAGCTCTGGCTATGCTGGAACTCACTATGGCCTCAGGCTCACAGAGACCTCCGTGCCTCTGCCTCCTGAGTGCTGAGATTAAAGGTGTGTGCCATCAACCCAGCTACTTATAATACGTTTTAACTATCTGCTATCACTTCCCCACCTTTGCTCAGACCCTTCCAGTGTCTTTGCACAGTAGGCACTTAGTAAATAAGTATTTCAAATTAATCATCAAATTCAGTAAAGACAGGTCATTCTTAATGTCAGACTCCTTGCTAAGTCCTAGAAATGGAGAAGTAAAATAGTATACCTGCTTTCAAGAATACTGCATATGAAGGGAGCAGAGAAATAACAAAATTATAGTGTAGGGTGAGGTCTAGGATGGAGGAAATACAAGGAATTGAGGGACAGGGGTAGCACCCAACCCAGACTTTGGGAGGTCCCAGAGGACCTCGCTAAAGGAAGTGACATTTACATGAAAACTAGGAAGGGGACAAGAGTTTCTCAGGCAGAAGTGAACAGAATGTGTAACTACAGAAACAAAGAGAACATGGAGTTTTCTAGGAATTGAAACCATTATGACAGATCATAGATTGTGAGACCAGAGGTTGAGTGGGAAGTATGAACAAGGCATTGCTCAGCCTTTTGGGCCGGTTTAAAGACTTTATCCTCTGGACAGTGGAGAACCATTGAAGGAATTTAAAAGGAGTAATGGTAGGATCAAATCTATCTTCAAAAACTCACTCTGGTTAGAAGGGGTGATGGATGGGAAGGCACAGGCTAGGCGAGCAGAGACCAGGTGCTGCGTTCCAGTAGAGAACGGGGGGCAGCCTGAGATGGGAGCAACAGCTTAGCATCTGGGAGAAAGGAGTGGTTGGGAGTCATCCTGAACCCTAATACTGATTGGTGTGGCCAAGAGTGCAACCCCAGGCAGTTGTGCTACATGGTGGGTCAGAGTGTGGGGGGAGGGGCTACCGGAAATGATTACTGGAGGCTGGTTGGAGGTGCTGAGCAGAAGAGAGTTGGGGTTGTCAGTGAAAAAGCTCTTCTTGGACTGTGCACTTGACTTGTACCCTCTCAGGCTCTTAAGACAAGCATTTGAGATGGGACTTAGTATATGCGTTATTATAAATTAGAAACTGAGGTTTGGAGAATGATCCAGAGTCACCAAGATGGCAAAAGAGGCGCTTTAAAATCCAGTGTGACCCTAAATCTGTGCTCTGAAATAGTGCCACACTCCGGAGTCACTCCACCCACGCACTTCACCCTCGTCTTCCAGCCACCACCTTGTCCTGTCCCTGGCAGGGAAGAAAGGGGCACATTTCTCTGCTGGAGATCGGGTGAGGAGAGGGAGGTGCTGGCCTCCCTGCTGCTGACTGTTTCTCTGTACACAGGCTGGTGTGAGTGGCAGGAACCATCTGTGGTCACCATGGCAAAGAGGGAGGACAGTCCTGGCCCGGAGGTGCAGCCAATGGACAAGCAGTTTCTGGTATGCAGTATCTGCCTGGATCGGTACCGGTGCCCCAAAGTTCTGCCTTGTCTACATACCTTCTGTGAAAGGTGAGGGGGGCTACCAGAGAGGGGCCAAGATCCTGCAGCACCCATTGCCCCCAAGGGAAATGCATGTTATAAATAAAGGGAATGTGCACATATGGGAGGGAAGGACAAGTGAATCCCATCTTGCAGAAGATAAGGATTTGGTTGCAGTAAGCTGTGAGAGAACCAGGAACTCTGAATACTGGGCCAGAGTGTTGCCTAGAATCAGGCTTTGTCAGCTCCGTCCCAGATCACAAAGTAGCCAGAGGAGAAATCAGACCGTGCTGAGACTCCCAACCAGCCCTGGAACCAGTATAGTTTATGACTGATGGAAGAAAAAGTGGATATATGAAGTTAGGTTTGTTCTTTCCTGCCTATTCTGAGGCTCTAGGAGAAAGCCAGCCCTTCCCAGCTTCTAGGCTTCTATGCATTGTGCCTTCATTCTGCTAATACTGCTATGTGTCAGACCCAATACAAGTCATCGAATGTGCACCGAGGAGCAAAAAACCAGACAGGATTTTATTTTATTTATTTATTGAGACAAGGTCTCACAGTGTAGCCCTTGGTAGCCTGGAATTCACTATATAGAGTAGGCTGGCCTTGAACTCACAGGCATCCCCCTGCCTCTGCCTCTCAAGTGCTGAGATTGAAGGCGTGCACCACCATACTCATCTCTAGAGACATGATCTTTATGATTAAAGGGTTTGTAGTAAAGTGAGAGAGGTAGCAATCAAATAATCATAGAGCTGGATTGTTAGACCCGTGAATTACACTCATAGTAAGTTCTGCAGATGCAGTACTAAACTGTGCGGTCTTAGTGATCTGTTATAGTCCGGAGAATCCTGTGCATTCCAAGGATGGACAGGAGTTAGGTACAGGGAATTTAAGAGCAGGCTAGGCAGAATGGAAAGCTCAACAAGACCATGTAGCCTGGGGAATGTGTTGGATGAGGGGGCCTATGAGAGGCCCTGTGTAGCTGGAGCAGAGTGAGTAATTAGAAGTGGTCTGGTATGGAACTGGATAGGGAAGTGGGCTCGGTACACCTATTAGGAAATTTGTGTTACCTGACAACCACTCAAAGCCTTGGCATGGTTTTCCTCGTGATCACATTGTATTTTGGCAGCATTTTCTCTCTGGCCTCATATCTCATGGCTGTACCTGAGAAGTCCTGGTCCCCAGATCTTCTCACCAGTGTCTCTCCAAACCTTCCATCTATCCCCTGCTTTCACTAAATCTGATCCTGCTTCCCTGACAGCCCTGCTCTTTGAAATTCCACCTTTGTTATCTTCTTCGTTTATCAGTGAGCAAAGGTCTCAGCCATCCTGCCCATTCAAATTCTTCCAGCAGCTTGTGGACCTCACTACCCATTTGTGCCTTCGTTCCTAATGTCCATGGTCATCATCGGCTTTGTCTGACTAGCATCTCCTAACCATCACTCCAGTGTTGTTGTCCGTCACCTAGAGACGAGTGCTTCTGTGACTGTAAACTCCAGCCTTCCTCTTCTAGCTCCTGTCACCCTGCTACTGCTATGCTGCCTTTGACTTAATCTACAGCCTAGCCTCCTCAACTACTCCTCTCCTCCCATGTGCCACCTCTGCCCTGGCTCCCCTCTCTTCTCTATCCATCCTCAGCCCTACAGCTGATCATCTAACTGTCCCTGGCCCACTTCCCTCACACCTTTGTCCTCTGCTAAGCCCATGTCATAGAATTTCAGTGCTGGGTCAGAGCTGTAACTGGATGCCTCTGCACTTTGTTGTATGCCCAGATCACTGAGCATTCTTGGGGGAAATTAGTGACTGCTTACAGTTGGCCATGCACTCTCTACTTGATTTACCTGTACTGATTTACTTAAGTTTTTTTTTTCTTTTGTTTGTGTGTGTTGTATGAGTGGATGCATTTTTCAGGTGTGTAAGTTCACATGCATTCATGTGGAGACCAGAGGAAGATGCCAGGTGTCTTCCTTTATTGTTGTCTGCCTTATTGTCCTAAACAGGATGTTTCATTGAACTGGAAGCTCATTGTTTGGTTAGGTTGATTGGCCAGCAGGCTTCTGGGATCTGCAGTCTCCATCCCCCCAATACTGGAGTTATGGGCACATCAGCTATGCCTGGCTTTCTGTGTGGATGCTGGAGATTCAAACTCAAACCATCAAGCACTCTTACCCACTGAAACATCTTCCCAGCTCTAAAAGATACATCATTCCCATTTTAGAGACAAGGAAACTAAGGTTGAGAGTCATTAAGTTATTAAGGAGGGTAGCCAAGGCTACACGGCTTATAAATAACTCAGGGATGTGAGAGAAGAGAAGGGTACTGGCAGTAGAAAAATCAGTGCCTTAAGAAGTAAACAGATCTGGATGTGATGGAATACACCTTTAATTCCTATCACTTTGAAGGCTAGAGGGGCTGTGTAGTGAGACTTTGTCTCAAAGGGAAAAAATACAAAATAATAATAATAATAAAAAGAAGAAAATAGAGTAAAAAAGAAACCAGAGTATGCTGCTGAGTGAGGCAGGTGCTAGGAGGAGGTGGAATCAAAGCCTCTCTGTAGCCCAGGCTGACGTTGTACAGGTGACCCTCTTGCCTCAGCCTCCTGAGTGTTGTGATTACAGGTGTATGACATGTCTGGCTTAATTAGATTTTTTATTTGATTGATTGTTTTTATTATTTTTTTATTTTTTACACCCCAACAAAAGTTCCCTTCCCTGCTTTCCTTCCATTTTTTCCCTCTACCTCCCCTCCCATCCACTCCTCTTTCTTCCGTTTCTCTATCAGCCAGCCATGGTATATCAAGTTGCAGTGAGACTAGGCACCTCCCCTTCTACACTAGTGAGCTTTAAAGAAAAATATCTAGTTGTAACATATAGGCCCTCTGCATATATGTTACAGTTAGAGTCTTTTTAAAGCTCACTAGTTGTATGGAGAGTGAATTTTAAAGGAGCAAGGGAAGAAGTAAGACCATTTGGAAATGATGGCAATCCAAGGATGTTTGACAAACAGGAAGGAATTGTCCATCACTTACAAGGTGCTCTGTGGGAACAGAGCTAGAATAGTGGGATGAGAGCCGTCAGGGACAGATTGGGACAGATTTCTGAGTCAAAGAAGTGACAGTTGATGAGATGTGGGTGGCAGTGGGAACATGGGAATGGACAGATGAGGTGAAGCGAAGGAAAGGTTCTTCGATGGTAAGGAAGTAAGGATGAAGAAACCATAATGGAGGTGGGTCATCTGGTAGGTGTCAGAGCCACTGAGATGTTGGCAGAACGTGAGGGGGTGAGAAGCTGTGATAGAAGAGCAGAGCCAGGAAAAGGACTTCAGTAAATGGAGAAGCAACTCTTAGGTCAGTGGAGACAGTTTCGAGATGGCGCGGTGTAGGCAGAAGAGAGCAGCTTCGAAGGAGCTGCAGACACATGGAATGTTCTAGTTGAGAAAAGGGAGGACTCACTCAACCCCACCTTCTGGCCCTAAGGAATGTGGAGCATGAAACAAAAACCACTCTACTGGGAGGGACTTCAGAGAGAAGTAGGTCACAGAGAAACCAGTTAATATTTGTAAAGCACTTAAGACCGTCCCCGACACATAATGTTTGTTACATTTTAATTAAGAACAAAAGGTATAGGCAAGAGCCAAAGAAGAGCCTGGGACACAGGGCAGTGTGCACCGTGGGTATCGTTCTTCCGTGGATCCATGATCTCCAAGCACGGCTGCCTTCAGTCTGGTGTCTGTTTCTAGTAATCACTGTCCTCTCCCTCCCTCTGGTGACTAATCCCAGCCACCCTCATTCCTCGCCCCTCCCTTCTTCCCTCTGGTGGATCCTGCCTCAGGCAAGTTAGGCACCCTGGTTCTGCCTTTGGCGCTGTGCTCCTAAAGCCACCCTTCTTGTGTTCTTCCCCTCCAGCAGAGGATGAGGTCCATGCCTCCCCTTTAGGCCAGCCTCTCTCCATCCCCCGGGCTTTGTCTTACTGGCTTCCTGGTCTCTCCCATAGCTCCCTCGCTACTGCTAACTTTTCAGCTCGGAAAGAAGCTCCAAATTCCCATAATAGTGGGCCGGGGATGCAGCTCAGTGGTAGGTTGGGTAGATGGTGAAATTCAAGTCCCCCTTACTAGCACAGGAAAACTATTCTCTTGTCTCCCTGCAGCACCATCCAGTCCTTCAGGCCCCTCCCACTCAACTACCCGGCCTCCCCAGCACTCTTCAACTTGTATCACTCAGACTCTTCTCCCACTGCTGTTGCCATCGCTGTCACCTTCACAGAGAAAAGTCTCCTCGTGTTTGCCAAATGCAGAGGGCACTTCCCACTGCTCAGCCACTTCCCACCCTAGTGACTGACTCATCCCCTCCTTCTGTACTCTCGCGGCTGCCCGGACACTGTCACTCTCCAGCCTCTGCCCATCCCCACTGCTCTTGTTCATCTTGGCTGAATTCTCTGTCCCCCTCTCTTACCACTGTCCGTATCCTCTCTGATCTCATCCTCCCTCTTGGCTACTGAGGCTGTCTGAATGTTGATGGCCCCCACCGCTGTCTCTTAACCCCCCTCCTCCCCGGTGCCGCTCTCTGTGGCTTTTCATGGTGATGTTATGTCACCGTCATTCTCTCAGATGCCAGTTAAGAATGGTCTCCCACCCCCTACACCAGGCGGTGGTGGCACACGCCTTTAATCCCAGCACTCGGGAGGCAGAGGCAGGCGGATCTCTGTGAGTTCAAGGCCAGTCTGGTCTACAGAGCGAGTTCCAGGACAGCCAGGGCTACACAGAGAAACCCTATCTCCAAAAAGCAAAATAAATAAATAAAAAGAATGGTCTCCCTCACTCTCCATACCTACTCATCATTGGTGGTTTTCCTCTCTCCTTTTTATTTTCTCTTCCTCCCTACATCTAATCTACCACTACCCCCTGCTGGGCCTCATTATATAGCCCCGGCTGGCCTTGAAATTGAGGCAGTCCTCTTACTCAGTCTCCTTAGTACTGGAACGATAGGCATGTGCTGCCACACCTGGCTGTGTTTCTTCAGTATAAATTTGTTCCCTCAATCCACGTCTCTCTCACCTCCTCCCTGGAATAGTGAGTGTGTTGGTGAAGCACAGGCTTGCTCTGCATTTAAAACCGGGCTCCAATGCCCACTAGCTTGATTGCTATGACCACTTAGCCTTTCTGCACCTCTTCATATAAAGTACAGGGCATAGCATCCAGCACATGTGTCCTGCAGTTCTGTGGCCGCCTGCTGCTGCTGCTGGGATCCACTGCTAGGCTCCTGCACTTTTCTTGTCCTGCCTTGCTGTCCCCATCATGTTAAAGTGCCCTCTGTCCCCTTCTTCCTCTCCCTCCACCTTTCTCTGCTTGGCCCAACAGTTATCTCTCCACACAGATTTTGTTTCCATCACTTCTGAAGCCTCTCCTGGCCTCCTCTCCACCCACCTGAGCCACACGCCTTTCCTCACGACCCCGTCTACTATGCTTTTGTGCGTCGTGCTTTAGAGGGCCAAGTGCTTTACATTTAATCCTCCTTACATACATGTAAGCGGGCCTTTTACATGTAATCCTCATGCATCTGAATTCTGTACTGTTTCCATCTTATAAGGGAAAAGACCTCGGCTTGTGAAAGTAACATGTCAGGGGGCACACAGTGGATTTGGTCCCTGGCCAGGGAATTGAACCGAGGCACACTAACTCAAGGACCAGTGTCTTTAATCTTTAAACTCTAATTCTGTGTCTTTGTTTTTCCCTCTGAGGACTAGAACTATTTTAAAGGCTGGCACTGTGTTTTATTTTTTTATCCCCAGAGCTTGGCACAAAATTGGCAAGAATAAGCAGTCAGTAAATGTTTAATGCGTCGAAGAGGGCAGGAGTAGCAGGATGAGAAGGGCTTGTTACATATTTTCTTGAGGAGGTTTGGTAAACACCTGTGAAAGGTGAGCCTGTGTTTGTTCAAGCAGAGGAATGTAGACATGTCTGTTCTTAGATAGACCAGCAATGTATTTCTGCTCAGTCCTCAGAGGCCTTTTAACACCTGCTGGCCGATGAGGCCTGTGTGTATGTGCACTCCACACAAAGCAGTTTCAAAATGAAATATTAATGGCACATCTGTGTAAAAGGGGTTAGGCACTTATGAGGGGTGCTTGTGACCCCCCTGCTTTGACTCTCCCTTCTCTTTGGCCAGATGCCTCCAGAACTACATCCCTGCTCAGAGCCTGACACTGTCCTGTCCAGTGTGCCGGCAGACATCCATCCTCCCAGAACAGGGTGTCTCAGCCCTACAAAACAACTTCTTCATCAGCAGCCTCATGGAGGCCATGCAGCAGGCACCTGATGGGGCCCACGACCCCGAAGACCCCCACCCCCTCAGTGCGGTGGCTGGCCGCCCTCTCTCCTGCCCCAACCATGAAGGCAAGGTGGGCCCAAGCGAGGCCCAGTGAGGCCAGGACTTGGGGTGGGAGGAGAAGGAGAGGTGCTGAGGGTAGGGTGGCCGTGGGCGAGGTGCTCTACAGGGGTAAAGAGGGCCAGAGGGGAGGGGACAAAGAAGTGTAGTGTCTGGCTGTTGCCTCATAGGAGCCCTTGTACCGCCAGACGATGGAGTTTTACTGTGAGGCCTGTGAAACTGCCATGTGTGGTGAGTGTCGCGCAGGGGAGCACCGGGAACATGGCACAGTGCTGCTGCGGGACGTGGTGGAGCAGCACAAGGCAGCCCTGCAGCGCCAGCTTGAGGCTGTGCGAGGCCGGTAGGCATCTTCAGGGCATCTGGACTGGTGCCTCAGCGGGGCAGGGCAGGGGCACTAGGGAGGGGAAGGAAGGGGCCTGGGAAGGACAAGTAGGCTCTAGAAGGTCAAATAGAGGCTCTCCCAGTGGGCCGTAGTAAGGCTATCTTTGAGAAGGTCTAATCTGGCGAGGGCACCCTCCAGCAATCCTGGTATGAGATGTTTCACCTCCTCAGATTGCCACAGCTCTCCGCCGCTATCGCCTTAGTTGGGGGCATCAGCCAGCAGCTGCAAGAGCGCAAGGCAGAGGCCCTGGCCCAGATAAGTGCAGCCTTTGAGGACCTGGAGCAAGCCCTGCAGCAGCGCAAGCAGGCTCTGGTCAGCGATTTGGAGAACATTTGTGGGGCCAAGCAGAAGGTGCGTCGGGTCACCCTTGCCAACCATGGTCTGGGATGAGATGATCTTACTGCCTCCATTGTCCACATAAGGGTTCCTTTTCTCCATCCTCTGTTCTGCCTCTCAACATGGTCTGTCATTGCTGTGGTCATCTACCTCCCTGTCCACATGGTCTGCCACTGCTGTGGTCATCTCCCTCCCTGTCCACACGGTCTGTCACTGCTGTGGTCATCTCCCTCCCTG